TCACACAAACAGCATTAGGAGGGAAAAACTTATTTACTGTGTATAAGGTAACAAGTCGTTGTTATTGTGGGTATTTGGTTTGTTTTAGAGGCAGAGAGCAGGGAGGCAGGGGTGGCTATGCTAGAACAAGAACAAAAATCAAAAGTCAAAAATGGATAACTCTTAACCAACCATCTGTAAGAGATTTACCAAGCAGTTACAAGCTAGGAATCCCTGAAAACAACAGTGGCAGCCAGAACATGCTAGAGTCTCTCCTCAAATCTTTAAGTCTGAAGGGATGCTGTTGGTACTCAAGGTCAGTGCCACTGTTACAGCCTCTGGTTGTCCTTCTTCAAGTACCTGTATATGCATGTTTCTCGACAGCTTTTATCTCCACATAGTCTGCAAGTACAGAAATAGAGCTGTAGGTGCAAGGGCAGAAATAGTGAAGGGAGTGATATTGAGTACCTCCGATGTCCTGGATGAGTCACATAATATACTTCCACTTACTTTTCATCAACCTTGTGAAGGCTATTTTTTATCCCCACTTTACCAAAAAGGAAATAGGTAGGGAGTTAAGTCCCATAGCTCACTCTGGCCCCATGGCCAGAAAGTAAGAGGTAATCCTTGTTTGGAAAACTTTTGAACATTTTAATGCTACTTCACAGGTCAGCTGACCTCTGTCACTGCCCCTGGCTCCATCATTATGATTAATATGTTCTCCCAGTAATAACAGGAATTCTACTTACTGGGCCTGACAACTCAGAAAAGAATAAATGTACACAGCTAACAATGTTTCATGGTACAAGTAGTGGTAAAGAAATGCAAACTAAAAGAACAAAACTCCATTTGTACTTCATAGAATCACAAGAGTTTTTTGTTTTCCCTTTTTCTTTTCTTTTTGCTGTTTTAAACAAACTGTGTCATGCTGGTAAGGGTGTGCCAAATTGGTAAAGAAGGAGTCATCTGCTAGTGGGCATGTAGAGTGCTGCAAATTTACTGCAATATTGATACTTCAATTATTGCAATATTAAGAGCCCTAAAGTGCTTCTATATGCTATTCAGTAATTTCTATTCTATAAATCCAACCTAAGGAAATAATCTTAAATTTCAAAAAAATCTTTAGGCCCAAAAAGGTGTACTACTGGAGTTGACCACAACCTGAATTCTAAAATAGAAGACACAAGAATCATTCTCTTCACAAGTTTTTGCTGAAAAAGCCTAGTAAAAAACAATATCCACATTTGAAAGAGTAAAGTTGGACTTAAATTATACAAAAACATTAACTCAAAATGCATTAAAGATGTAAGATCTGAAACTATAAAACTCCTAGAAGAAAACAGAGTAAAAAACTTCCTAACATTGACCTTAGCAATAATTTATTGGATGACACCAAAAACACAGGCAACAAAAACAAACAAGTGGGACTACATAAAAATAAAAAGCTTCTACATGCCAAAGGAAACAATCAAGACACTGAAAAGTACTGGCCCCTCAATATCACTAATCACCAGGGCAATACAAACCAAATGCACAATGAGATATCACCTCACACATTAGGATTTTAAATTAAAAAAAAAAAAACCAACAATTTGAGAAGCATTAGCAAGGAAGAGGTAAAACTGGAACCTCAGTGCACTGTTAATGGAAATGAAAAACAGTACCATCACATGGAAAACCATATAGAGGTTCCTCAAAAAACTAAAAAGAGTACTACCACATTGTCTTGCAATCTAACTTCTGGGTGTACATCCAAAAGAACTGAAAATGGGATCTTGAAGAGATATTTGCTTAACCATGTTCACTGCAGCATTATTTTCAATAAATAAGAAGCAGAAACAACCTACATTTCCATCAAAGGAGCAGATAAAGAAAATTGGTGTGCATATATACAACGGAATATTATTGTCTTTAAAAAGAAGCAAATTCTATCCTATGCTACAACACAGACAAACATAGAGGGCATTATGCTAAGTGAAATAAGCCAGTCATAGAAGGAAAAATACTGCAGGATTCTACCCATTTCAGATAATTAAAGCAGTTAAACTCAAAAGCAGAAAGTAGAATGACTATTTACTTAACCCCTCCAAACCTGCAGGGCCTGTATCTATGTACTAAGGGTAATAATATGAGACACTTCACAGTGTTGCTATAAAAAATACATGAGATGGTATATATAGTTCAGTCACCATTGTGCTTTGCACATAGTAAATATTCAATAGAAATCAATAATTATCATAAAGTCATTATGAAGAGCAATTCAACCTGAGGATGGGAAGGTATCCTAAATGACTTTTTTACAACCAAATTTTACTGGTTTACCATACATTAACATAACTATATAATACCAAGAAAGTGGCTTCATACCCCAAAATGTATATATGCTTTACTCACCTACCACCCAAGCACTAGTGCCTTTACATTATCACATTAGTACCCTCTACCCTTTGTTCCTACCCACCTTCTCCTTCCACTCTGGGAACCACTATGTTTTTCAGAGTCTAGAAGTTGCTTTTGTGTATTGTGTTTTGCCAGGTTGTTTTCTTTGGCTGTTTATATTCTACAAATTAGTGAAACCATCCAGTATTTATCTTCTACTTTCCAACTTATTTCACTTAGCATAATTACTGCAAGTCCCATCCACATTGTGGCTGAAGGCAAGTTTTCTATAAATAAGTAGTATTCCACTGAGTATATATACCACATTTTCTGTATCCAGTCACCTACATGAGTTTTAATGTTTCTTTTGATACCAACTGTCTAATACTTTATATCCTTCATTGATATCTCATTAGATTATGGCATATTCTCTGCCTGAATAGGCAGCTGTGTGTGTAAATAGGCAACTGTGTGTGTGTGTGTGTTTACTAAATATTAGCAAGTAGTCCAAATAATGGCAGAACGTACATAAAAGATGCCTATAGCAGCCTGCATGGTACATAGGTACCAGAGATTTGTGATTAATTATGAAAATATAAAGCATTGACTCACAAGAGCTTTTCCCCCAGGAAACAGGGGAAAGAATACATATGAAGAAGATCTGTAAGCCAGTTTTCTTTCAGTACAATCATGAACAAAGCAAAGTGGTGGAAAACCAGCTCACAAATGAACTCTATCTTCTCTCAAATTAATGATTAGGAAGTAGAGGAAAATTACATAGTTCAAAAATAGAAGAATTCTATTTTGTAAGTAAAATATTGATTGACTGAGTCAAATTCATCCATAGTGGTCTAAAACTACTTCTTATGACGTTTAATACTCTGCTAGAGGCTCAACCAATCATTTAAGACAATTATAATAGATTTGAAGAACAGATTCAATCAAAACATCTAGTGAACAAATATTGTACCAGTTTTCTATCTTGTGCTCAAAGATAATAAGGCTTTGGTTAGTACAACTAGAAAAGTTAAGGGCTAGTTCCCAGACTTGAGGGACCTCCAACAATTCAAATATCAACAATTTTAATAATTTACAAGCATACGGTATTTGAGTATTTTCAAAGAAGTTTATATTATCTCAGCTAATCATGGAAGATTGGCAATGTTTATATTTCTATCTTCATTTGAAGAATAAGGGAAAACATTGAGATGGTAAGCCCACGATCTAATGGTTAAAATGATATTCTATTTATACATCTCTATAAACAAATGATAAAGCTAAAACCTGAATCCAAGTTTCAATCCCAGAATCTAAGACTCTATTGCCTAAAAGTAAATCTAAAAGAGCTTTACTTATGCTTATAGAATAGTTCTGAAGTTAGAGAATGACATTCAATAAATACTAATTGATGACTTAAGCTTACTATAATTCAGGATATATATATATATATTTGAATGAACATTTTAATTTAATAAAAATGTATTAAATAGGAGATAAATTTTATACTATCCCATACAATACATAAGTCTACAAATGTTATGTTGGTTATTATCCACTAGAGATAAATAGATCCTGGATAAATACATCCTTCTGCAAATGTGGTATTGTGCACCACTCTTCAATCATGTTTTGGGAAAAGATGACCATGACCTGAGTAAGAGTTCAGGAATGATATTAGACCACTTATATCTATCACTCTGGATGTCAACAAAACAAAATTGGTAATTCTATGTATGCCTTTACCCACACACACCAAATCAAACAACAACAAAACATTCCTTTTGTTGCAGTACTGAAACAAAACAAATAAATAGCTTTCCTTCGTCATTTTTTACCAAAGAAAGTCTTTATCAGGCATTTTGCCAAGGAAACTATGTCTTGTATCTGATGTAAACTGTTGGAGCAGTTGCTTAGAGGTGCTGCATAATATCAGGAAACTGAAAGTGGCCCTCAGCAATGTGTCTATCACACAGCAGAAACTCAAATACAGGTAAGCGATCAATATGTGTTCATTTTATGAATAAATATTATTTGACTCCCTTAAAATCAAATTCAGAAAAAAATAGTTAAGTTGGTCAGTATTTTGGCCAATATAAGTTGGACAGTAAGATGAATATTTCTTACTAGACCTATTAAAATGGCATTCACAAATCAAAAGGAAAAATACTACTTTGAGATTTTTCCTATTACATTCTTACCAATACAGATCAACTATCACCTAATTATATAGAATGTCACATTACTCAGTTTTTTTTTTTTATCAATTTTATTCATCATTCATTTCCCAAGTTGGGTCTAAGTAAGACTACAACTGGTCAGAAATTCCTATCAAATGCATCAAAGCTCTTGGGATCTCCATATTTGGCCAATTTCAGTCTTCTATCTGACCTGGCCTGTCTAAGCTGGTTCTATCAATTTACCCTGATTATATGAAGTCTGAAAATTGGCCCCAAAGCCCCTTAAATGTAGCTTTTGCTTAAAAAAAAAAATAAGGCTAAAGACCATAGACTGTATAGGGCCTTAACATTCATTGGTTCCAATTCAATTTTTTATAACTGGGTGTATTCAAGACATGACATTGTGGTCACTGAACACTTTCTCTGCTATCATAACGAGTTCCTGTGGGGATTCCACAGACTCACTTTTGGCACGTGAGGATTGAATTCCACAGCTCTATGAATGGCCTCTACAGCATTCATCTCTGCTGTGCTCAGCCCCCGCCGAGATGCAGCCTCGGGAGAGAATCTGAAAAGCAGAAAGACAAACACCGTCCAGTTGGGACCACTGCTTGGGCATCAACCCAGAGAGGCATCTGCACATCAAGGGCCCATAAAACCACAGCGAGTCAATGGCATGAGCTCTCCAGACCTCCGCTATGCAGAACCTCTGAGTGACCCCTCAGACCGAGGCCAACAAAAAACCCAGCAGAAGCAGAAAGCGTGCTTGCATCTAATCACGGCAGGAATTAAATTCAGCTGTAAGTCTCTCTGTCTAAATAGCTAATCTAAATTTTCTACAAGGTACCTGCTTAGGTCAGGATTGGGGATAGGGCTAGTGAGGGCAGAGAGTGTAGGAAAAAGAGAAAACTAGGTTACAGAAGAGCGCACTTGGTTAAAAACAGAACTGGGGAAAATTTTAAAGGAGGCTCCCAACCCAAAGTCAGTGCTGCGATGGAGGGTTAAGTCGTTGCAGCTTCAGCAGCAGGAGAGCCTGCTTGGGGCCGTTCCGGCAGGGGGGTGTGCATGCCCAAACTGTGGGCGAGACACCTGCCCAAGTGAATGAAAAAAACCAGACCATGCAATCTCTTTCTCACCTCACACCCAGGGCTAACTCCAGAGCTGTGCTTGGCAGGCAGACACCACAGGGGAAGCTGTGACAACCCTGGCCCTGCCCTCCCAAGCTGGAGTCGCTGTGTAGGGAGAAAAGATGTTGCAGTAGGTACTGGCGATCTACAGGATAAAAAAGAATGAAAGAAAATTACTTCGGTCTCGAAGTGCACACACACTTAACAGCAAACCTATCTGACATAGCAGAGGCCGTTTTCTTTTCCTTCTATCTGCTTCTCAAGGCTATAGAGGGATTGTATCGGGGAAGTGTCAGTGTTTATGAACTCAAAAACAGTTAAGCCATCTATCCGCTTTCACCTGCCAGTCATCTTGGCTGTTTATGAACATTCTCTATGACATAGTCACCTGCCTGATTAATGAGCAGATGTCCCACTGAGATGGCCACTCAAAGGACCCTGGCTGGGAGTTAGTTTGGAATTGATGAGGCAAAGAAAGGGAGTTGACATTCCCTCTGCCATGTTACATGTCTTTTATGGCTACTACCCAGTCTCGGACTGCTAGAGGAAGAAGAATATGCAAAAAATGAACAAGAGGAAGGCATTTATGTACGTCCCAAGCAGGTCTTTTGATATGTACTGTCTGACAAAAAAAAAAAAAAAGAAAAGAAAGAAAAAGAAAAAGGAAAAGAAAAAAAGTCACCTCAGAGGCAAGGAATTTCGCATAAATCTCTTTTTAGGGAAACATAAACTCTTACAATACCTGGGGAAATACATTCTCTCCTTCTAGTAGTGAAAGAAAAGATCAGCAGATTTTGGAAAATGCATGCTCATAAGCAGGGGTCTCACAGACTAAGAGAAACTTCCAGAGAAAGCCCTCAGAGGCGACACATCTCTTTAAGTCAGGTCAGGCATTTAGTACAGCACAAGTTATTATTCACTTACTTGTCAGAGACAGCTCTTGCTTTGAGCAAGGCAGCTGTGTAGCATATTGTTGCCGACTTTGGTAAGCTTATATCTGTTAAAGAAAAAGAAAGGAGGAACTTTTGTAAATTTGCAGAAACAAAGAGCAATAATTTTAAACACAGTAGTATTTTAATCATGTAAGGCTAATAAAGCAAAAATTAAGACTACTTTAATGTAATACAGTACATAGTGATTCCTATGTATCAGGGTGATATGTCAAACTAAGGGTAATTCATTTTGTGAATAATTCACATTTTAAATCCAGTAGACTGACTTCAGCCATTGCCTATTTTAAAATATTAATTTTCACATATTTAGTTTATTTAAGCAGAGAATAGCTGTAAGTATATAAATGTAAATATTACATAAGTAATATTTATTTGACATTATGAAAGGCAAGAACTTCTTTGTCACTTATAAAATTTTCAACATTAACATATGAAATACTAATATGAGAAAAAAATATACCTGGTTGATTTTTAAATAATTGTTAATTGTAAATAAATGTATTTAATAAGTTATTATTTCACAGTCAAACTTAAACCAGATTTCCTTTGCATTAAATTTCAATAAGTTCATATTCATTTTTTGTTAAAAAATGTAAGACATATATTATCTCTATAACATATATGAGATCTTTACAGATATACATTTATTTTAAATGATATCTAGGAAATCTTTAGAAAACTCTGCAATTTTTGTCATTCAAACCTATGACAAATTCCTTTTCATATAAAGCCTAATTTGTTACCCAGAAAAATAGTTCCTTTCAGTTTGTATACAAATTTTCAGATGGAGGACTAGGGGTGGTTAACATTCATATAATGAGTTTACAGGGAAATAAAAGTACTGGGAGCAACTGAAAATAGATAAACTCTAAGAATTCAGTCCCTGTAAAGGGAAATTTTGTTTTTAAATTACCATTCTATTTCTTACCAAAATTGTATTTAACACTCAACAAAATTTATACAATGACATAGAAATTACCTTCTTAATTCACAGCAGATAAAACTGTGCTATTCCCAAGTGCTGTAAAATTCACCCTGAATTAGAATAACTCAATATCTAAATGCCAGCTTCTTGGCAGAGCTTGCTTCAACTTAGAATTATGTCACAGTACGAAAGAAAGAAAAGTCCTATAATTAGCCAATAGACAACAGAAGAATGTAATTTAAAAAAAAGAAAACTCATCTCTCATCCAATAACAAGTATTTACCATCAATCCCAGCAGAAGAAAATTCTCTTTAACATAAATTTCAATTACACTGATAAAATATGAATCATTATGGAAAATACTAACACAGAATTGAAAGGGATGAAGGTCTTTGTAACCCTGGTCGTATAAATGATATTCAAATAAAATTTGCCACCATATACATAATACAGAATAGTATGCCTATCACTAAGAAGAAAAATATAAAAGAAGGTTGAGCACGCATGGATTTGTTTTGTTGCTTTTCCAATATCTGAACATTCAACTGCTTCCCAGTGTGGGATCGGAATCCAGGAATCAAATACTTTGTTGGCTAGAGTCCACGCATTGATTATTGCTGGAAGATTAAAAACTGCAGATAACATATGTTTTACTTAGAAGTTCATACCTTTTTGTTAAAGTTGAGACATTTAATTTAAAGTTTATCCAACTCTTGTTTCCAATCTTCCTGGGGTGGTCTGTGTTCCTTCTGTGTCAACTTAGCACCTTTCTGTGACATGGGGGAGGGGAGCAACGAAAAGTGCTAAAAAGGAGTTGAGGCTACAATTAAAGGTCCTCATTTTTTCAAGGTGGCAGCACAAGTTAGAGTTCACTTGATAAACTAAAAAAAGTCTGTTGTTAAGAATTTAGTTTCTCAGGGGGGTGGGAATTGTACGGGGACTATAAACAAGATGAAAATGCATACATTGTGCAAAAATGAAATATGATGTAAAAAATATATAAAATTTTAAAAAATAATGAAAAATAAAAATAAAAGCTATGTTTTCAACTCAAAAAAAAAAAAAGAATTTAGTTTCTCAATGAAAAAGATCAGATTGCGTTTTGATGGTTACATACCTAATCAAGAAAACAGACACACTCACCCAGTTGAAAATGCAAAAAAAGAAACATTTGAGGTGTTTCAACAGAAGCCTAGGGATGCCTAATCAAAGGTGATCTTTAATTTGATACTATGTCCCCTTATGCCCAGACAAGATATTCACAACTAGAAAAACACAACAAAAGTCAACAACATTATGAATACTATGTAGTAAATTTTCCCCATTTAAGAAAGTTTCAACTCTATTTCTTTCTTGTATGTAAAGATGGCGGTATGTGTGATTAAATATTTTTTAATCAGTACCAAACAGGGAAGGCGTATACTTATCTCCATGATGAAACCCCACTCCCATTCCCCGTTAGTGGCATGTTCACTCCACTTGTTGTCTTTTTACTTCAGTTAATTATGTTCTCACTGCCTAACAAAAATTTTTAAAAATCAGAAAATTCTTACAAAAATTGTTTAGATATTCTCAGTTTTCCTTTTTAATTCTATCAAAACAGTTTTATCTCTATTGGTCATGGCAATTTGTCTCTAAGAAGTGGTGAACCACTCTAAAGAAAGTGATCCTAAATTTTCCTTCAGATAAAGCATCTGCTCAAATAAAGTATATTGCTCAAATAAGGTTTTTGCTTACAACATATCTTTTAAATGATACTTAATCATTAGCAATGAAAATTAAAAACTTTAACCACCAAGTGATTTCATTTCTAAGACTTTATTCTAAGCTAGGTAATCACACCTATATATGAACACTTAGCTCAAGGATGGTGATGATCACACTGTTTCTAATGGTGGAAAAACGAAAACGGCCTAAATGTTCAATTGCAAGAGAATTGGATAAGGTGTTGGACATTCTCCAGGTGCAATGCTATGTAGTCATTAAATAGTGTGGGAGAAGAGTAGTGACCTGGACAAATGTTGTATTGTTGTGTACACATCAATAAGTAAAACAAATTTCTATGATTCCATATATTTTAAAAGCACTTATAGATAGAGATAAAAAGATTAGAGTTATATATAAAAATAGCAATAGTATTTATTTCTGGGTGGCGGGATTCTAGGCAGTATTTTCCTATTCTTTATCTGTATTTTCAGAGCCTCCTGTTATATACACATACTAAGTGAATTTTTAAAGGGTAGCAATGATGTTATATGGAAGAATTATGTTCTACAAATTGGCTGAAGCAAGTTCACAGGCAAAAACCTACCTTGGGAGAACAAGACACACACAGCACTGACAGACAAAAGTAGAATTTAAATGAAGAGATATCAGCCTGCATATCTACCAGATATAAAGTTGAGTCTTGAACAACATATATCTACCAGATATAAAGTTGAGTCTTGGGCTTCAATGGCACTGGTCTATACAGAAGGGTTTTTTTTTTTTTTCCCTATCTACCACTTGCACATTCACAGATTCAACCAATGGCAGGTGCCATGGTTGGTTGGTTGAATGTATGGATGCAAACCCATGTATATTAAGGCACTAGAGCATTCCATGGTCTTTGGTATTGGAGGAGTGGGAGGAAATCCAGTTCCTCAAGGAAACAAAGAGATAACTGTAGCTAAGTTGAGTTTTAGAGGAGTAAAAAGTCATATGTGGATTTTCCAGCAGGGATGAGGGGCTTGGCCTCTCTAACCCCCCAGTTGTTCAAGGATCAACTATACTTACACATCTTTATGAAAATTAGTTCCTTTTGCAGTATGCCTGTTACAGGGCAGTCACCCCATTAATAATTGTCTAACATCTAAATCAAAGGCAAGAGCTATATGCTCACTTTTACAAAAGACCATATACCCTATCTTTAAAGGAAAATTACTTATTATGGGCTGTTTGCTCCATGAGCATGACTTTTTCCATTTCCTAAAAGACAGGAAGGGGAGGACTGAGACTTGTGTTTTGTTGCCTATCATAATTTTGAAGTAATTATAGATTCATAGGAAATTGTGAAAATAGTATATAAAGTTGTATGAATGCTTTCCCTAGTTCCTCCCATGGCAATGGCGACATCTTAGATAAGTATAGTGCAACATCAAGAAATTGACAATGCTACAGTACTATTAAGTCAACTGCAGACCTTGCTTAGTTTTCACACACATTTGTCTGTGTGTGTGTAGATCCTTGCAATTTTATCACATGGTTAGATTAATGTAACTACCACCACCATCAAGATACACAACTTTTTCATCACTACAATGAATACTTTTGTGCTACCCCTTTAGATTTATATATTCCCCACTCAAATCTGTCCCCTTTGACCACTAATCTGTTCTCTATCTCTATAATTTTGTCTGTCTACTATGATTTTACACTTTTATCACTGAGAATAAAATGAATACAATGATAAGTGGAATAAAGTGGCTAATAGCAGTGATGAAAATAGTACAGATGTTTTGAACAAGAAATAAGAAATCAGCTGCTTTCCAAACTGCTTGTAATTTATTCAGAAATTTTACTTTGAGGGACTTTCAAAATCATTCTAAGTTTGATTTTGTACAAGCAGAATCTAAGTATAAAGTATTTTTCTGTCTTTAGTAAGCGGCATGTAGCTACTATTATTACCAGAAAGTCCCCTTAAGAATTAGAATCCAAGAAGGAAATAAAAGGAAATAACGAGACATCACATCATTCCATTACTCATTGCAGAAATAGTGAATACTAAAAAACTTAAGCAAAATTGAACTGTTGGTATTAGTTTAATTTTCCATCTACTTCTTTGCCATCTTTTATTTCATACAGGTTCTTTTCTGAAAGGGAAAGGACTTTCCCAAGCATCTTAGGCATGCAAAATCAAATTGCCATGAAAATCTTTCATTAAAATCTCCAATCTTGAGGTTGGCACAAATGGAATCATAAAGTGTCTGGCTTATTTCACTCAGCATAATCTTTCTCAGATTTATCCATGTTGTAGCATGGGTTAATGATTCATTCTTTTCTATTGCTGAGTAGTATTTCATTGTGTGGATACACCACAATATGTTAATATATTTGCTAATGGCTATTTGGATAGTTTTC